GTTTGAAAAAGTGTACCCTCATTTTCATAATTGTGTTACTTGCTTGGGTCTATATTTCCCCAAAGCTTCAGTTTGCCAAGCCAGTAAAACCTGTATAAACTGAACACCAAATACTGGATGTCTAGCCTCTAGCTTGCCAAGGTTGCAAATTATAAAAATGAGAGAAGACATTAAAAACAGTACAAATGTAACAATTACTACCCATTCATATCATATGCTTGTGCATACAGCCATGATATGTATCTACTGTTAATATGTTATGCTGTGTTTTGAGTATTGAACATCATTTTAAGTACCTGTAATTAAGCAGTGAACCAAACACACACTTTAAGTTGTTAACCAAAATTGTTATGTTATGCTATTTTTGAGTTTTGAAAATCATTTTAAGCAATTTTGAGCAGTGAAGCAAACACAAACTTAAGTTATTAACCAAAATTATGACATGCTCTGATTTATGAATGTTAAATAAAGAACAACTTTTTCACTGAGTAAGCATCACCAGATGTGCTCAAAATCCAGTCCCATAATCATTTAATGCATTTCCATTTACCATTTCTGGATTTTAAACAGAGAAGGAGAAGAGAAACTCTGAATGAATGTCTTCTCAGTTTTTGGTAATGATCAATTACCGCTGCAGCCTATTACACTTACCAATAAGTGTTAGTAAATAATTTGAATGTGTCATATTTCAAAACACCAAACTTATTTGTTGAGGTTTCACTTGACCTGAATGCTGAGATAAAATGCTAAATGCTGAGTTTGAGTCTGGGAATAAGCATAACAAATGCATTACAGTATATAGGAACTGGTCATAAACAAATGAGGTGTAGGGGTAGGTCATATGGTAAGTCAACACTAAGAACAGGGCTGTGGAGCTAAGATAACCACCTTTAAAGATCATACTTTACCAGTCCCCCCCATTCAACCAAACCCTCTCTCTCATAAATATGATAATGTAGCACAATATATCAGTGTACTACAGCATACATGCTGCTACATGGATTGGATAAATTTCTGGTATCACTTACTTCTTAAATGTCATTGATGTGAAACAAAAGTTCTAAATACAGGTCTTTGGCTTCCTGTGGGTTACTTGGCATTTGCAAATTATGCTCTTGCATTATCATTTGTCCCAACTCTACAAAAGCTTGATGGCACCCCATTGGAGGTCGCACCTCTCCACATTCTTCTTCAGCCACTACCACATCATCCTCTTCAATCTCTGTTTTGAGGTCACTTTTGTTTGCTGTGTCAGGAAGAAAGTATAATAYATCTGGTCTGCCAAAAGGGGAGTCAACATTTGATGATGGCCTTATTTTGTGTAAATTCCAACTTTTTGCAACTTGGTTTAATTCCTCTTGAATGATCTTCTAAAAAACAAAATTGTAGGCAATTTACTTGGATAGGGTCACTCTAGCTATACAGTCCTTGATCTCTCATACTTTTGAAGAATTTCATCCACCAATCAGTACTAGTTTTGCGAAGTGTTGCCCACCATGACTCTATTCGCTGGTTTGCGAATGATTTACCATAAAGAAAACTTTTTGTTCCAGCAAAGCTATCAGTACAATTTCTCCATAAGTATCTTTGTATTGCTGCAATGTAGATATTTTCTGTACCACAGTCTCCTCTTACAATGCGTGGAACACCACCCACCTGACGGATGCAGTCAATAAAGTACTGAGCAGTTATTCGTGGATTGTTGTTGGATGGTCCAACCTCTAACCACATTATTCTCCTACTAAAGCCGTCAATTGAGCCATGGATACAAAAGCCATATGGCTTGAGCTCACATAGCCATCCACATGCCATATAAAATTTGGGCCTCTTGTAAAATACTTTCTTCGTCTTAATTTTCTCTTTGATCGGCACTCTACGCCCTCTGGATCTAAACCTTTGACAATTCTTCGGACAGTTTTGCGACTGACAACGAGTCCCCGATCTAGCTGCAGCCTCTGGTGCATAAGCCTATAGCCTATGCTACATCCACTTCCTGCAAGTTCTTCCTCAATTGCATCAATAATCTCGCTAATTGGTGAAACAAATCTCCGTCTTCGCAGATCTTTTCCCCTTAAAATCCTCTTCAGTTGCCTYAAGCTAATCCTTATTCCATGGTACAGAAGAAGAAAACCAATGATTTCGCTGTAATTCAATCCAAGGTTAAAATAGCTCACAATTAAATTGTCACGATTGCAGTCAACTCTGTGGACAGGTATGTAATCTGGCAGAGTAGCTCGAAGGGGTTTTGTGAAGTAAAACATGATAAAGAGCCCCAATAAAGCTCTCACGATAGTATTCATCTTCTTGAAATAATATTTGAGGCTGTTAATATTTTAGAATTTAGACTACTCTCATACTACACTGTAGCACTGTTCTAAGTTTGTTCACGTTTTATTAYTTTTAAATTTTTCAATTTGGGATCGGGAAGGATTACCACGAGGTAAGGAAAGAATTTGTAACGAGTATTTAGTATTTTTAAATACTRAATACTCGTTACAAATTCTTTCCTTACCTCGTGGTAATCCTTCCCGATCCCAAATTGAAAAATTTAAAAATTGAACGAGTATTTAGAGTAAGCTAAATTTTCACTAACATGACGTCATCAATGACGTAATAATGATGTTCTGTACTCTATATTGCAATCAATGTTACTGCTTTATAAACTTTGAACACAGAAGTTATTCCTCTCAGAATTAAATAGCGTTTTAGTAGCGTTTTTTATAATTTCTGTAATTCGGAATAGACATAGATTCATATGAAATGAGTTTCGTTTGTTCCCCTTGAGTGAGTATTAGACTCGGATCAGCTGATGGACTATATGGGAAGACAACCGAGGACCATGAAGAGAGTCTGCGAAAGACCTTTCGACACCTCAGAGACAAAGGTATGACCCTGTACAGAGAGAAGTGTGTCTACTCAAAGGACCTAGAATTCTTCGGCTACACATTCTCGAAGCACGGCATATCCCCAGACCCAAAGTAAGTAGAAGCCATCCTCAACATCCAACACYGACTTACGCGACTGAAGTACGGAGCCTACTCGGTATGACGAACTACTGTTCCAGATTTATAAGAGGGTACRCAACGATAACGCAACCACTTCGTGAGCTGACGCAGAAGGAAGCGCTCCGGAATGGACCGCCAAGCACGACCACGCCCTTCCAAAACTTAAGGAAGCCCTGAGTAACACACCCGTTACCGAATATTTTGATCCTGAACGGGAGACATCTATTTATGTTGACGCAAGTCCAGTTGGTCTTGGAGCGATCCTCGCACAAGCTGATCCTGCAACTGGTAAGGAGAAAGTGGTCGCTTACGCAAGCTGCGCTCTGACGGATGTAGAGAGCCGATACAGCCAAACTGAACRAGAAGCACTTGCAGTCGTCTGGGGATGTCAGTACTTCCATCTGTACATCTACGGAAAACCTGTAACAGTGATAACTGACCACAAGGCATTAGTTACCATCTTCAACGACCCGAAGTCTAAACCAACAGTGCGCATCGAAAGAAAGACTCTCAGACTGCAACCCTACCAAGTCAACATCGTATACCAGAAATAGCTTAATAGTAATAAGCTGACATTGAATTTAGAGAAAACCAAATGTATGTTGATAGGTAGTAATCGTAAGCTTGCCAAAAATACTACTCTTTCTATTTCGATTTTAAATCATAACATTGATTCCGTAAGTAGCTTTAAATATTTGGGAGTTTTTCTCTCATCTGATTTACATGGTCGGACCATGTGCAATATGTAGCAAATAAAGTCAATCAAAGACTTAGTCTACTTAGATGGATAAAACATTCACTACAATTTAAATCACAACTCTTATTTTATGAAGATATAATATCGCATTTGCAATCATCTTTATGATATTCGCAATAACGATCCCACCAAACAACATCATCTGTGTACTCGACAATAGTAGAATTTTCATCGGTTGACTTGGGGCAGACAGACTTTTCGGTACTTTTCTCGGTATCCGTGACACTTTTTTCGCTTATTGTCTTTTCTTTCCAGGATGAAATTGATGCTGCCTACATATTGGCAACTTTTCTCTTTTTTCTTGTTGTTGCAAGCGTTAATGATTTTCTCAACTTTTGTATCTCAGCGTCTAGCTGAATACTAAAATTTGGGAACTCTATTTTTGCAACTTTCAAACTAAACAAAACAAAGATAGTGTGACAGGCTAAAATCTTTGTATTTTGAGGTGAATGCGAGAACAACAACAACAACTCGTGGGATCCCTATATATCGTGGTATYCAGCTTTTCAAACCATGGTATTCCACGCTAAATACCCATTCTCGGTAGCCAATCAGCGCGCGAGATTGAATAGTGTCATGGGATTCTATCATATATACACTTCTTTCTACCACCTYTTTCTCTTTTACTCCGACGAAGGACTAGCGTCCGAAACGTCAGTARGTTTTTTCATCTTTTCACGGTGTATAATTTACCTTTTCATTATTACTCTTATTTTATAATAGCCTTGTTCTCCCACTTTTTGATTATGCCGATACTAGTTGGGGACCTAAAAATAATACAAGTCTAATGTCAAGTTTACAAATATTGCAAAACAAGGCTGCAAAAATCATATTAGATAAGTAGTTGCATTCATCAGCCACTGAAGCTCTTACTGCTTTAAAGTGGATTCCCTTAGTTAAACGACGTTTTCAAAGAAGATGCATTTTTGTTTATAAGTGTCTAAATGGCCTGGTTAATCATSATATGAATTTACAAATGAATAGAAAAAACAACATGAATATAACACCAGAAATAAAGACCATCTAAGACTCCCAAAAGTAACAAGGAACTGGGGAAAACAAAAGTTAGATTATCAAGCGGTCAAAGACTTTAATTCATTAAACAAGGACATTAGGAATTCAGAAAGTATCAATGTCTTTAAGAAAAGAGTTTTCTCATATATTATTCAATGATTTTTAGATATAYAAGTTTGTTATATTTTAGCTATATTTTAGTCACTATTTCCACACCGAAGGCAATGAAGCCAGCTGACATCGCAACTGCAACGGCACAAGACGCAACCCTACAAGTGGTCATTAAAGCAGTGCAAACGGGAAACTCGTGTCAACCCAGTCTGAATCCAGCTATTAACGCGGCAACGTTTAAAGCCATGAAACGGATAAAGGACGAACTAACTGCTTGTCTGTCGTACAACGTCATCCTGAGAGGAACAAGAATCGTTATGCCTGACGCAATGCAGCTTCAAGTAGTCAATCTGGCCCATGAAGGTCTTCAAGGCATCGTAAAGACCAAATCACTACTTCGCGAGAAGGTATGGTTTGCAGGTATCGACCCTTTAGTAGAAGAAACAGTAAAGTCCTGCCTAGCCTGCCCAACTTCAACACCTGACACCAAGCGAGAGCCCCTAAAGATGTTGCCACTACCCAACGCACCATGGCAAGAGCTGAGCGCAGACTTCAAGGAACTATCCACTGGAGGGTACCTGTYAGTATTCACGGATGATTATTCTCGATATCCGGGGGTAGATGTTATCAAAACGGCATCGTTTAAAGTTGTTATTCCGCGCCTCAACAAGATCTTTGCAGAATTCGGAGTACCTGGAGTAGTACGTTCGGATAATGGCCCGCCATTCAACGGAAAAGAGTTTGAAGAATTTGCGCCAACTCTCAGGTTCAAGCATCGAAAGATAACTTCCTTATGGCCCCGTGCAAACGGAGAAGTCGAAATGTTCACGCGAACGATAAAGAAGGCCATCGAAGTAGGAAAGATCGAACACAAACCATGGAAAGATGTACTGTGTGATCTACTACGCAACTATCATGCGACGCCTCACATCTCGACAGGCTAAGGAAAAGATGAAGAGTAATGCAGATGACAAAGCTTACGTAAAGCCAAGCAGTGTTGCTGAAGGAGACGTCGTAATCACAAAGCTTGATCCGACAAAGTGCAAGTAGCAAACACCGTATGATCCAGAACCATACGTTGTGACTCAGAAGAAAGGCTACATGATAACAGCACAACGCGATGGCAAGCAAGTCACTAGAAATTCTTCATTCTTCAAGGAACTGGGTACAACACCTGATGGAAAAGTAACAACCCAGGAAGGTAATGAGAAGAAGCCCGAAGGACCACCTGAAAGAAAATAYCCATGAGGACCTTGCGAAAGACCTCCACAATACTTGGAGGACTACGTTAAACCTTGATTGCATTCATCTTAGTTGAACTGAACTGATTATTACTGAACTGATCATTTACCTTTTCATCATTACTGATTAYCTTAGAATAACTTGAACATTGATGATAATACCCTGTTAGAGAGAGATGAGATGTTGAAAGCTGATCAAAGTATATTTGAACATTTTGAAAATTATGATGACTTGCATCGAGTACTGATTATCTCACCGAGAAGAGGAGAGATGTAATGTTGTTACGTTAGTCATTAACTCGGCCACTCTTATGTAACTTATAACTTCATATCTATACACACTCTCTAGACTAGATATAACTAGATATAACTAGATATGTTTAAGGGGCGTTTGATTAAAACCATGATCGAAAGAACATCGATCACACGTAGTATATGAGTTTCAAGGTGGTTTGTGTTCATCAAGCTATATTGATTATACCTGCATGCGTCTCCACCAGCGAATTGATGAGCACAAACTCCTGTCAAGCTCAATTCACAAACACCTTAGAGAAGAACACGACATCACCAACACGTCAACTTATGTCACGCAAGAACAATTTAAGATCTTAAAAGGTGGTGAAAACAAGTTCAACTGCCTCATTTATGAGACGCTATTTGTATTGCAGCGACAACCTTCAATTAACATTCGAAGTGACTCGCTAAAAGTGAAACATTTGACCTTCGTTAACTCAACAATGATTTTTTATCATTTAATTCTCCTGCAACAGTTCGAACATGGCGTACTCGGAAAACTTCCGCGTAGTCGACGAAAAAATGCAGTCAAAATTTTCTCACTATGTCGTTGAAGCATTTCCTCGGTTTCAGTTTCCCGAGGAATTGAACTCATTTTTACTTTCAAGATACCCAGCAATTAAACATCCTGCAGAAGATTTTAATTTTAAAATGGGTTACTTCACGAAGAAAAATGGAAACGCAAGTTCGATATCATAGACGAAAATACTCTTGCTCAGGCCTATGATAACTGACAACACGATAGAATAACGTTGCCTGACCCACACACGCCGATAGTAACTTCTACAAAAACGACAACGAAGAAAAGGAGCGCAAGTTAATATATACAAGTATTTCAATGTGTGTGTACTCCGCGTCTAGCAGCTCGCCAATTAATACGTTTGAATACCGGCTCACAGTAGATAATAAACTTTTTACAGCGGTCTTACCCAGGACCACTATAAAGCCGAGAACCAACATGAATAAATCATCACTTTGCTCAAGTAGTCACAGCCAGGTGATCTCCCTAACATGACCGCGCGCCTAGAGTCTTGCACGAAACATTGCCGTGATGGACGCCACTTTGTTTTGATTTGAATATGCATTCTCTTAAAATGTAGTGCGAAATATTGGTGAAGGAGTCATAGCTGCACGTTTGAAGTCTATAGTAATGTTTCACGTTGTGTACAAGTAAAATTTCACAAGAAAAGCTTACTTCAAGCAAGTGCTTATCCGACTTTGTAATTCGTATAGCCAACAAAGTTAACCTTACAAAGTTTTTTTTTTCGAAAATGATTGAAAACTTGATAATATGCTCAAATTGCTAATTAGTAGTAAGTTGTATGTACGTATATTAATATTTGTAATAACAATAAAAAATTTTTGATTTAAAAATGTGTTGTATTTACGTGCTATTCTTATATGTGTTATGTTCTTGATTATTACCGATCCACACATATCTTGTTTACGCGCAAAGGTCTATTGGGATTGATTCTTTTTCAGCAAACGCGATTCGCGATCTGATTGGCTAATCGATTTCCGTCAAATCACCTGGAGTGTGCTCATCCATGGCTTCGCAAGAAGATAGACAAGTACGAAATGGTAACAGTATATTGAAGGAATACGKGCTTATTCTCCGTAAGCCATCGGATTTAGGAGAAAAGAGAACCCAGGCTACTGCGGAAAGTCATGTTTTTTTAAGTAACCTTGCAGGTTTTCTTTCAAAATGGTCGGGCGTAAAGTGGCAAGGAAAAAAGCTGCTAAACGAAGATGTAGTAGACTTTTTTATAAAGTTAACAATAGATGCTCAATGGAACCATTCCATTCCTACCTTGAAACAGGTAGAGAGGAAATGCATTATGTAACCAAACAAAATTTCAGCGTTGCCAGAGAATCGAATGATAGCTCTTCCTCAGTCACAGGACCTCCTTTACTAATCAACGATTAGCATGTAAATCCTTACATGAACGTGTTCCTCAAAGATTGTCATTTTTGAGGAACATAATATCTGATTTTATTGATTCAAGCACAAGCGATTTTGACAATGACCATGCATATCATTATGACAGTTCAGCATCCAAAAATTCTTTTTTGGAGGTTGCTTCGGATGCATTGAACCTTTTTGAAATGTATGAAGGCCTAAAAAATCTTGGTTTTACTAAGTTTATTACTAAGAGTAATCTTCCCACGTCAGTTGGAATTGGTAATCTCCCTACAAAGAAAATGCAGGGATTAAAGAATTCCGAACTAAATAACCAGGAACGTCATCTCGAAGGTCATTTGAGAGGATTTGGACTTTCCCTAATACCAGTACTACGAGATGACAATTGTTTGTTTTTTCTGCAGTTGGTTTTCAACTGTTCAAATATGCTGTCATCTACTAATACCGACTGCGACATATCATTACACATGAATAGCTTGGGACTACATAATAATATGACAAACAAAGAATTGGCAAGTGGTCTCAGATCTTACTTGTGGAGGAATGGAGAAGTGAGCGTTGTGAAGAGTACATGGACTGTCTGCCTGTTGATACTAACGTCTTTGAAGAGGTGCAGAATTATGAAAATGAACACTATTTTGGAGGACCACTTCGGGACCTAATGCTCATTGCAATGGCAAATCTCCTGAACATTCCTCTTACCTCCGTAACCTCGGAATTTCACACTCCACTTATAAGCATTTATCCCGTAAGGTCAATTGGTAAATCCTCCGCCTATGTTCCTTGCATACAACTCATTTGGTGCTGGGCACTATGATGCAGCAGTTCTATATATTTAGGCACTACCTAAAAACGGAGCTCTCGATACGGAAGTCGCAGGGAGAACAATTTGAATGAAACTGAAAGGTAAAAATAAGATCGGGGAAAAAATCTTCAATTACTTTTTATTCGAAATGAARATAATTTCTCCCATACTAAAAACCATGCAGTGAAATCGAATCGAAATGAACTACACTGTTTTTTGTTTGTTTGTTTGTTTTTTTGGAATTTTGTACACAACTCACCACCACTTCCAGGGGCTAGTTTTGTTCTTTGAAGATTTATCGACAAAGTTTTCCAAGGCCGACAGTTTTCGTTTTATTTGGTAAAAATTCATATTTCATTCAATAATTAAATAAATTATCTGTAGAAAGATGTAAAATTCTTGAATGAAAGTCTTCATTGTTTTGCCGATGGGACCCTGCGATAGGAGGCGAACAAAGCTGCATTTTTTTTTTTTTTTGAACGAAAAACATACGATAGTTGGTTAAAAACAACCGAATTGTTAAAGATTTACAAAGCTAAATAAAGAACGAATATTTGTTGTCGTAATATGCTCTCCGTGTTATATTTCCTCAAGCATTAAAATAAATCAAGCTTGTCTATAGAAATATTAAAAGTTTTGAAAGAAAGTCTTTGATTTGTCGATTCGTCGAGAAAAATGCTTGTCAAAAGAAATAATAATATACGATTGTTTGCTAAAAAACACACACCTGAATTCTTGAAGAACACTTCTTGATCCACCTTTGGCTACATAAAAGTATTTTTAAAATTGTTTTTGGTCTATAACTTGTCCTAAAGCGATTTTTTCTGCTAGTACTACTGAGTCAGGTAATTATTCATAATTTTTTAATAATATTTGATGAAGATTCAGCTACGTACATGGGTGGGAAACTCAGAAAAAAGAATGAACTTTTGATACTACGTGGTAACTTGAAGCTTTACTTTGAGCTTTCAACTCACGCTGGAGTATTGATCACACCAACTACAACAAATGTGGGAATTTTGTCTATCAGACAATATTGAAATCTAATTATTTAGTAGAGTTTGCTTCATGGGTTAATGAAAACCACCTGTGTTTGTACAAGTGCAGTTATCTTTAGTTTTGAGTCGTTTTTTCCATTAAAACTATTCATATTTGTTTAGTATGATATTCAAAAACCAAAAGATGTGAAACAGGTTCTTAAGACAACATTAAAGTATATAAAATTAATGATTATATTTCCAACATAATTATTTTTTGTTAACAAATTTTTTTATAGGTAGGCAGACTCAAAAGTACATGTGCCGATGTGGATCCACACCAATGAAAACCACTAAGTTCAGGAACTGGTATTTCAGTAGAAACCGCTGTCGGTGTGTTTTTAAAAATGGGGGGTGCAGCAGGTTATGCAAGTGTGCCGGCCGTTGTGGTGAAATTGTATGTAAGAAATTAGTTGTAGTGGCGAAAGATCTGGGGAGAAAAAATGTAAATCAAAAAGGATGCCCCATGCTCTGCAAAAATCAAAACAGGACCTCCACTCTCCAGTGGAGAAAAACAGTACAAACAATGCTCTTAATTTTCTTGAACTTTGTGTGATTTCAAAAGGATGGGTATAAGCCTTATGAAGCCTAAGACGTGTTATTAATGTGCGGTCAAATTATGGATGCACTGCTGGATTTAGGGACT